TTGAAACTACTCGCACTCTACTTCTTCATGGTAATATTTCTCATAATTTTTGGAGTGATGTTGTCTTTAAAGCCTACTACCTTATTAATCAAATCTTCTTCCATCCTTACACCCAGGAACCGCATTCTGTCTTGTTTTCTTATCAATCTTTACATCCGCCCCCTATCCTCATGTCTTTGAATCCACTTGTTTTATTCATAATCTTAGTCTAAGGATTGACAGGCTCTGTGCTCATTCTCACAAATGCGTCTTTATTGGTTACACTCGATCACTCCAACTCTTAATCGTTATCTCGTCTCAACTGATGGTACCATATTTGAGTCAATCCTATTTTTTGGGTAGGTTATAAGTGTTACTCTCCTCATCCATGCTAAATCTTATTAAGTGTTAAATATATTTAATTATAATAATAAGGTAACTTTATCTTTTTAATTATGTTAATTAGGTAACTGAATATTTAGTAAATATTGTTGTTATTATCAATATAAATATAAGCTCCATTGTGTGGTTATACTATACATTTGATTATAAAACTTCAAAGAATAAACTGAAAAGAACTTATTCTAATGAGCTATACTAAAATATCTTATTGAAATAAGTTGAAAAGAGCTTACAAGAGCTATAAGTTATTTCCACAAGTTCCTCCAAATAGGGCTATGGTAAAGTGCTTATAAAGGTTTGGGCAAATTTCACCACATAAGCTAGCTTTTAGGATTGAGTTAGGCTCAATCCAAATTCAAGAAAAACCATATTGGTAATTTTATGCCACCACAAACAACACATTTTTCACCATCTGCATTTCAGTAATAGCAGTCTAGGCATCTATTTAGTGCCCAAAACTTAAAGTTAACTGAATGAACCTAGCATGTAAAAGTCATTCTTCATCTATAAGTACCTTAACATAATTGCACCAGCATTTAGGGAATAAGAACATCTGAAAAGCAGACCTCAATTCATCTAGACAGGCATTACTCCCTCTGCTCTATTTTATAAGAAACTTTTAGAGATTTCTTTTGGTCCTTAATGTAAGACCCTTTACTACGTCTTTCATTATGAACCTTCTAAGTTCTTAACAATTAATATAATAAAAAAGTTGAGTTTAATGCAGTATAAATTTGGAATGTTGTAATTATTTTTTTTTTTAAATCAATACATTAACTACCTCCAACAACCTTTCTTAATCTATGTGATTTAATTAAAAGGATCTTATAAAAATGACCGGAGGGAGTATAAGCAAAACCTTGAGTTGAGAGTTCAATGAAGACTAAGCTAAAAGAACACCACTTCTTAGTCGACAAAAAGTTATATGAAATCAAGAGATCACTGATACTGAAGTATGTTTCAAGCTTTGAGATCATCACCAAGAACAAATCTTGTTCTCACATTCATAGTTACCAAGAACAAAGAAAAAGAGAATTGAAAAAAGAAGAGGAAAAGGAGAGAAGAACAGCAACCAGCAGGACAGTGAGAACAAAAAGGAAAACAGGGCACTTGACTAAAATGCAGAATCAGTGAACAGAGAGCATGGGTAACCAGAACACACCAAGTACTGACCAGAAAATACTTGAACATGGTTGGAAAGTCATCGAAGAGCAATGGGCTGATGATGAGTTGCATAGTAATAGAGGGGCAGCTACTAAAGAGAAGAGAGAGTGCAAAACTCAGAAGAGGAATGGATTGAATTTTATTGAGAGACCTTTTGAAACCCATTTTATTGTGACTTGAAAACCCCAAAATACCCCCAAACAAGCAGTAAAAAGTTAGGGCACATTTGAGTTTTCAATTGTCTTCCGCATCGTGGCACGCAACACACTGCGATTTTTGCCGCTACAGCGGCCACAGCAGCCGCAACACTAAAATGCAACACAATAATGTGAGAATAGTGGCCAGCTGCTGTGATGCAGCACACTATCATGTGCTATTGACAACCTAGCTCACGTTTGTTATACATTCCCAATACAGATACATACATACAAGTGCATATAAATGCTACTAAATAAAAAACAGCTACAAAGACTAAACATAGAAATGTATCTTTGAATATAGAACACATTTGGAATGTTTTCTTATTTTTGAAAATTCTTTTTCAAAGAAATAAAGAGGCTGAAGCATTTAAAAAGCTAACATTGTATTTCCTTCCATGTTAAAATTTTGTGCTTTTAGGTAAAAACATTCCTGGGAACATGGAGAACCTATTACCTATTAAATTTTCAAATATTACTTTACTTCCTGAATTGTATTTAAAGGTCAATAGCTTTTATATTTTCACAAAACATCTTTCAAAAAATATCATAAAACATGCCTTTTCCACACACACACACACATATAGAACAAAGTAAAGATGATTAATAAGATTTACAAGGATAAGAAATACCCCTTAAAAACAACAAACATTAGAGTACATAGAAAACATCAAAAAAGCAAAGCTACCTAAATTTACAGTATATCTGTAAGAGAAACCCTAGTAAAAATACTAACTGCAAATGTAAGAGAATAAATAGAAGCTGAATGCCAAATCTTGCAGAAAGAAAACAACTGATCCAAAGGAAGCTCCTTAAAGATGTAAGAATTACTATACAACGAAAATGCACCAAATTGTAGCAAAGATTGCACATTGTCACAAAAATTTGGCCTCTTTCCTTCCACCAAAACCAACCAAGCTAAGTCAATAGAAACTAGTCCAAGGACCTATGACATACCCAACATTGTATGATAACATCAAACAAAGAATTTCACAAAGAAACAGCTGCACAACAACCTAGGAACATATTTGAAACTGATTCTACAATTGCACCACACATAACAAACATTTTAAGTTACAAAAAAAGGACAAAATCAATGAGACCCAAGAGTCTCCAACTCAAGGTGCTTCCCATTATTCAGAGGTAAATTTCATAAAGAAGTGGAGTCTTGAACGGGGAAAGTTGCAAATAGCAGAATTGTGCAAAGAAGATAAACGATGTGATGAATTTGATAGAGATGAGGGAAAGCCAATGTAAAAAAGTATTACTAACTTTAAGGAAAGCAAGGACTTAAATGTAATAATCATCCCATGAATTAAAACTGTATCAGCATCCCACCTATTTTAGTCTAGCCCTAAATAATTTTGTATTTTCAATAAGATCTATGCTCCATTTGCATACAAACATACAGTCTCACACACACACACACAAACATGAAACCTCAAATCTTTATGTGACAACAAATGGAACAGTTAGATTCTATTCTCCCTTCAGAGCAACCACAAAGTCATGTGCTTTTTTTTGCTTTTAATCTTTACCATTTTAATAAGATCTAATGGTCTATATTTAATGTTTTTCATTCTCAATAACTAAGGCCCAGTTATTAGTTTTAATTTTTGAATTTTTTAAAAACCAAAATCAGTTTTCAATTTTATAATTTTTAGTTTCAATTTTTTGTAATTTTTCAGTTTTAAATTTTAACACTAAATTTTAAATTTAAACCACACAAATCACTTCTTACTTCTCAAGCAAAGTTTGTTTGGTGACAGACTAATGATATGGGCAAGGATATGGGAGAGGGAGCTAGCAGTGATGACAATGATTGGTAGTAGCAAGCGTAACTGCGGCAACCACTATATTAATGGTAATGATGATGACTTGACAATGATATTGGTGATGGTGGTAGCAGGGATGGTAGTACAACAAAGAATGATGATCATAAAGGTGACAAAGACAATAGTGGTGACTACAACAATAATGAATGCTATGGTAGTGGTAGTGGCAGCAGCAACAGCGATCATGATGGCAGCAATGTCGGTGGTGGCAGCAGTCATGTTGACGACAATGGTAGTGGTGAGGACAGTCATGGTGGCAACTGTGGTGATGGCAACAACAACGATTGTTATGATAGAGGTGGTAGTGGTGGTGCCAATAGTCATTGGCTAGTGGTGGTGGGTAGTGGTTATGATGATAGTGAGAGTAATCTGGTAGTAGCAATGACAAAGATAATGGTGATAGTGATGACAGTTTTACAACTAAAAACCAAAACTACTTTTTTTGTTTTCAAAATTAATGTAAAACTATCTTAAAATTGAGTTAATCAATTAAACTCCATTCTATCCGAACAAGTTTTGTTTTGAAATTTGCATTTGGAAACCAAAAATTTAAAACTCACAACCACCACGAACAAGCCCAGAGGTTTTTTCACTTGAGTAATTCCGTAAATAGACACACTTACCTGCATACACAATTCTCAGTGAATCTATAAAATAAACATTGCAAACAAGATCAACCATTCCACTAAGTGACTTTGTAATCATAACTCCATAGTTCCTTAACAAGTTATAAGTCACTTATATAGTTTTCACCCATAATGATTTATATATCATTCCTTCATCAGATGTCCATGAAGGTATGCCATCCAAGAATATTAATTTGTTATGCCTTGACACAGATATACTTAAGCACTTTACCTTTGACAATTTCAAATAAATACACCCAAATTATATGAAGAATTTAATCAGACAATCAAATATGTCTCTATAGAAAAAGAATATCTATACTTCTCGATTCTCACCGACAACTCTAATTTTTATATCATCATCTGATAAACCACCCACAAGCCACAACAAGCTTTTGTGTTGGATTTATGAAAAGAGATGACCTTCAATTCAACAGCATAAGGATTATGGAATTTAAGTTATCTCTCAAAATCAAGTGCTTTCCATTCCATAAGCAAACAGAACATACCACATATTACGGGAGTAGGAAAACCTATAACTTAAGCCTGAAAAATCCAATGAAACACCCCAAAACTAATAACAACAACAAATAGGTTAATCACATCACATTATTTATTGTACTTATAAAAAATGCATCATCGAATGTATTATTATTCATAAAAACTAAAATTATTCAATTCATTATAGCTATCCGTACAAACCTAAAAAAATCTATACCTTAATGATGTGTTTTTTCTACATATGATGCCTGATTAAAAGAGCACAGAAACATGGTCAATCAAAAGCATTTAGTTACCTACTTCCCTTCTTTGGACCAGATACCCCATCTTTGGACTTTTCACCTGCCATCCGTGAATGAATAAAAAAGGTCCATACTTTTATTAATGTTATTATACAAAGTAATAGCAAAAACTATGTATTTATCCAGAACATGAAAAACAGATATAATCAAGACTTCAAAGAGTCAAACATAAAGAATATAAAAAGGAGGGGCAAGAAATACAGAATTCATTTTAGTCATACTAACCCTCAGAATCATCTTTAAATTTATCATTGGGATTAATTGTTCCTCCTCGAACAAAAGCCTTTGACCCAGGAGTACTATCACCTTGAAATGACTCTACAAACTCAGCATACAGGCGAGCAGTCTCATCTTCCGCTCTCTGCATGAGAAAAAATCTATTATGATGACTAGGGAAATGTCTTTCCAAAATTCAAACAAGAACTAAATAAATTGTATATATCAACCCTACTTTCTTCTTTGCCTCCTCCTCTTCTCTGTGTTTCTGGAATGGAGTCTTTTTCCGCGTGATGGAGAATGAACTCATCCCTGCATCAGCAAAGAAAGCCTGCCAAAGGAATATTAAATACATTTTGTGGCCTCGAATCAGAAATTACACTTTTCAAAACACCCCTAAGTTTTTCACATCATTTCTCGTTCTCTAAACCAATTTCTAGTTTTAACTTCACATTTGATTCGCAAAAATGAAAATTACTAGCACATCTGATATGAATCCCCATCAACCTGGACTCTAACCTATCTAATCCAAATGCTCCGAGAAACACAAGAAAGAGCAAAGGCACAAAGAGAGAGACATTCTGCAAATCCTAAAATGCAGTAGCCACTTTCTCCCACTCAAGCACAGAAACTAACAGTAAGAACCCAACAGATTTTCGTCTAATGTAACCTAATAACAACATATAACAATTTCCAATCTCATAAAACAAATAAAACATTGAAATAGCTAAGTATAGAGGAAATCCGAAGGAACCTTCGGAAAAAATGAGTGAGTGAGGAGCAGCAACAAGTTGAATCCAACGGCGAATAATGCGTGCCCTTCTTCCCAATTGAGCAGAGTGACAAAACGAGCACTTCACTGAAGGGCAAATACATGGTCTCATCTCATGAATATAATAGCTATAATATAAATACAGAATAGAAAGAAGGTAATCGAATTGGAAACACGCTTATCGGGGTTTGGTTAAGAGAGAGAGAGTAGAGCGAGAGAACGGGCGAACCTCGCATCAACTGAACTCACCTCACCTTGACCTGAATATGGGTTTGCTGTTCCCTACTTGTTCGATGCGCAGTAACTCTGATGATATAAAAGGGCACGCGACCACAGGGAAGGGTATTGGTATTGCCTTGTTTTCTGTCGCAGGAACTTATTGATTTTATTTAGATTTACATTTCCAATTTTACAAAATAAACTAGTCATAAGCACAGGTTTATTTTAATTTTAGTATCTAAAATATGTTAAATAAAATTATTATCCATTATAAAAATATATTAAAATTTAAAAAATTTAAAGAATATAGTTGAGACAAAAATATATTTTACGAATTTATTATAACATTAAAATTATTTTTAAGAAAACTCACCCTAAAAATAACTATGATAAAATTTATCATTATATAATATTATATTTAATATTTAATGTAGTTTATGTGTATTTTTTATTATTATTAAAAGTTTTAATATAATATTTTTAGTAAGTTATGGTTAAAATATAAAATATATCAATTTTAAATATATCAAGATAATTTATTTTATACTTATTATAAATTATATTTTTAATAGTTTATAAATTATCTAAATAATATATAATTATGTATTTTAATTTACAGTACAGTAAATATCTTCTTTGCTGCTACATTAATTCTTAGATTATTATTTCAAAATAGTGTTATGAATAAAAATAATAATTATGAACAATAACTCAATATTTTGACATATATTACTAAATAAAAATATAATCTTAAAAATAAATTATTTTATTTAGAAATATTAATATTATAATATAAAAAATTTAGATATATAAATTTTCATATATGTATGTAAAGCTATGTTGAATAAAAAATTTTAATATTAAATTTTTAACATATAAAAGATAAAATTAAAGTTATATCACATTTAAAATTGTTACATCAATATATTTTATGAATAAAAATATTAAAAACAAGAAAATGGTAAATATATATTTGAAATTACGTTATATTATAATAAAAGAAATAAAAAAAGTATGTTGAATAGAAAATATTAATATTAAATTTACATTACATTTTTATAAATAAAAATATTAAAAACAAGAAAATCGTAAATATATATTTAAAATTTAAATTATATTATAATAAAAGAAATAAAAAAAGTATGTTGAATAGAAAATGTTAATATTAAATTTTTAATATAAAAATTAAATTAAAATTATATCAATAACAACTAAGTTTATCTCATTAATCTACAAATTATTAAATTCCATCAAAAATCATATTTTCATAAATAAGACTAATTAAAAAGTATATTTTAATAACTTTTAAGATTTTTTTTTGTCTTTTTTCACCTTTTTTTCTGTTGGAATTTTTCAGTGGAGTAAGTTATCTAATTCATTCTCTTCACTAATATCTCTAAAAGTTCTTTTTATGTGTCAAAACAACATTAAATACTCTTATATTCTTATATATATTATCATTTTTTATTATATTCTTTCTTGTGCAATCACTAATTCACCTTAATATTTTTATTTTTGCCATTTTCATTTTTTTTTCTCATTTCTTTAAGACTGAATATTCACTACTATTAAAATTAAAATTATATAACATTTTAAAAGTTTACTTCAAAATATTTTTGTAAACAAAAATAAGAAAATTATGAATATATATTTAAAATTATAATAATTGATAATGAATCAACAAATAATAGTCTAAATTAAAAAATAAATAGATAATTTATTTATAAATGTATATGTAATTTATTATTATATATTTTAATTTTATAGTGTAATTAATATCTTATTTAACACCGTATTAATACTTAGTGTTACTAAATTCAAATAGTTTAATAACTCAGCTAAGGTACTAAATTATTAGATCACTGATTCAACTAATTATACACACAAATAGCATCAATATATTAATAATCTCAAATGATTTAGTGCTTATTATTATATATTTTATGGATATAGATCATTTTTTGTTATGGTGGGAACTAGACTATCTTCTAGTCAACATTCGCTTAAGCAAGAAATTAAGAAAATTCTATAAAATAATAAAGAAAACTTATTAAATTTATTTTAATATTGGTAATTGTTGTTCTAAGTCCAAGGCACGCATCTAATGGCCACTCTCAAGATGACCGAGCTTTGGATCCATAGTTGCTCTACCTCTAATACCCAATGTTGAAGACTTTAACTTCTACGCCAATTGGTAACGCTAATGCAACACAGTGTATTTTCCAAAATGTAATAACTAAAATTTTAGACCTTTCAATTTGTTTAAAGTGAAGAATTAAATATTGACAAGTGATTTGAATATCTTGAGTATAATTTATGAGAGGTTGTCGAAGTTTATTTTTTTACTCTGCATTACTTTAACTTCTTATTTTGGATGAATATTAACTTGTTGGTACTAATATATATTTTAGAATGAATGATTTGTCATTTTATTTAGATAAATTTGCTATTTGAGATGTTGAAATTAGGTCATCAATCATACAAATAGTTTTAATTGTCAACCCGATCTAACTAATGAAATTTTGATTGGGTTAGATAAATTTTTATACCAAAACTCATGCAACCCAAGTCATGAACAACCCTAACAATCATGATAAAGAGATAGCACCCCAACAAGAAAAAAAAAAGAGAGAAAACATAAGAACCAAATAAGAAGGTGAAGAAAGGTGGATAAGCAAGCAAGAAGCAAACTTGTTTCCATGACAACATGCACAAAGCCATCAGTACAATGGGATAAGAAGTTGGTAGTGACATGTGTGTCATTAATGGGAAAGGCAACTAAGGGCATGCATGTTAGCCGAGTGGTGCACCTTTATATTCGTAGACTCACTTAAGTGAATGAAGTTTACGAGTTCTCTTTATTATTTTGTAGGATTTATTTAAGCAAAAACAAATTTTGATTAAACGATTCAATTTCTGTCATAACTAAAGAAAATCTAGATTCACATTTTATTCACCCAACCTATGCTTGATTTCCACCAATAACACTTTTGGAAGGTTGCAGGTTGAGTACTTTTATAAATACAAGATTTGTGTAGGTAAAATCTACCTACCCTTCATAATTAAGAAGGCTTGATACACTCTCTTACATGTGCAACAATCGTCACAGTTAATTTTATCCTAGTAAATAACAGAGTTAGTGGTTTATTTAAAAAGACATTAATGCCCTTTGATCTTAAGATATCAGATGAATTACACCTGTTGATCTAGAAAGGGTACAGAATATCCTCTCAAGTTTACAGGTACTATAGCAAGCACCATTTATTTAGTGTATAAACTAAATTTGACTAGGTCACTAGTTTATGTTGATTTAACCAAAATCATACTCGTTTCAAAGCATAAATAATCACCTAGCATCCAAGTTTTACAACTTATTAATACTAGATGTAGTGTATTTTACATATAAACTCGTAGTTATGCCCATTAGCACAAGTTTGTTTATAATTTCTATAAAAGTATTTTAATTAAAATAAATTAGAAAGATATTTTAAATATAAAAAATGATATATATTTAAAGAAAATTCATAAATTTATATAATAACATACATTCATAATAAAATTGATATTAAAGTAGCAGTATTAATAATAATAATAATAATAATAATAATAATAATAATAATAATAATAATAATATATGAAAAATTAATATAATAGCTTAATTAACCGTAAAACATGAAAATATTGGTTTTTTTTTCAAATTTTAAGAAACCTTAAAAAACATGTATATAGTAACATAATAAAAATTATTTAATCTTTTAAACTTTTCAATATTATCTTTTTTTCAACATAGTTTATTTTTTCTACCTCAAGTACAACCTAAAAAAAATATAAAGTATAAAATATTACATCATTTAATAAAATTTGAAAATATATTATAACTTTATAATTTGTTATTGACATTATAAATTTATAATTTATTTCTTAATTGTTTTTTTTAATAAATTTGGTATTCCTATAGTTGAAGATTCATTTGGGAACTTGTTATTTTTAAGTCATTTTCTTTTATTTTGATTTTTAAATTTTCCAAATTCTTTTCTCTCTCAACTTGTAAACATCAAAATACTAAAAAGGGTTTTGTTAACTTTTGCCCTTATTACTGAGTTTAAGCATCCATAAATAAAAAATTTGTATAAAAAAAGTACACAATTATTATATTGAAGTTACAAAAATATAATAAATACTTCTTTTTTTAATAAAATTTTACTATTATTAACTGCTTATCCTCAGCATTTAGGGCTGAGGTTAACAATATTATAAACTTTGTAAATAAATTAATAAGATCACAATATTATTTTATTTATTACCTTAGCTACTAACCATAAAATTTTATTTGATGTTAGCTTTATCTTACACAAAATTCAAAGTAATACTTATTTTTATTTAGGCTTTGTTTGAGAATTTACTTAGGCTTGAGCATTCTCGCTCAAGTGAGAATAGATAGTATCGCTCCAATTGTCCTCTTATCCAGGCGAGGAAGTAGCTCACCTAAGCAAAAAGGCACAAGAAAATAAAGGGCTCTTTGGATCAAGTCTCACCCAAGCGCGAAGGTATCTCGCTCAGGTAAGATTATCAGAAAACTAAGTAAATTTTTTGTTTAGTAATCTCACTAAGGCAAGAATGTTCTCGCTCCAGCGAGATTACCCTCGCTCGAGCGAGAACATACTTGCTCAAGCGAGAAATCGAGAGTGAAAATTACTATATAAATAGTTTCAATGTTTTAAAACTCAGAACATAAGGCCAGTAACCCTTTCTCATATCACTTTTTGTTCTCTCACTTCCTCCTCCAACTGAAAAATTCCATTACTCTCTAAATCTTCCTCAAATCCAAGCTTAAACATCTTATCTCACTTGATTCCAAGTAAGTTCTTGGAACATATATAATCTTTCAATCTTACTTCTATTTTATTATTTTTCTTCTTCTCAAAGTTATTCCACTTTGTAATGTTTAGGGAGATTTTAGTCTTTCAGACAATATCTTTCATCAAAATGTTACACCTTTCCTTTGGATCTCAAGAAGAACCTAGTCTGAGAGACATCATCTCTCATCTCTTGTTGTGAAAAACCTATTTTTAAGTAAGGGGAGTTGATCCCAAACTCTAAGTCTTATTTATCTATTTCGGTTTGAAAAACTTGACTGTCTTAT